AAGAATAGGCAGTGCTCTTAACCACTGTGCCATCTCTCCAGACCTCCAGAATTCTTAACAAACTATATTTTCAAGATCATTATGTATTTTCATAATATTTATTGATAATATTAAACATCCATTTATTTACTTGATCCCTGTTAGCCTTTAGCACACTGTACATTAAATGCCTGTGTATGTACACGGACACACAGAGGTACCTGTGCACACACAGCTGTGCGTGCACTTGTGTGTGGAAGCCAGATGACAGACAGCTTGGTGTCATTGTTCCTCAGGCACTGTCTACCTTGCTGTCTGAGACAAGGTCTCTCACAAGGACCTGGGGCTTCCTTATTTAGCTACGCTGGCTAGACAGCGAGCTTCATTCTCTCCCTGTCTGTCTCCCCAGAGCTGATACTGCAAGCCCATGCCAACATGCCCAGCTTTTTTTATGGGACCTGAGGATGGAACATTTTTGCTATTTATTATAGGGCAGTCTATTCATTATAGTAGTTCAAATACCAAATTCTGCTTAGTTGAAAAGTTCTTTTAGCACTTAACAAATGTTTTATGGGGCTGAAAAGATGGCTCTGTGTGCAAGAGCACCTAATGCTCTTGCAGAGGACCCAAGTTTGGATCTTGACACTCACAAGAAATGGCTTACCTGTAACTCCACCAATTCCTTTTTCTGGCCTCCCTTGACAACTTCACTTACATGCACATTCTTACATACAAACACACATATACATGTAATATAAAAATAACATACACAAGCCCAGTCTGCCTGCTTTTGTGTGTGATATATGTGTGCTTGTCTGTGTGCAGGTGGTATGCATGTAGATGTGTTTGTGCTTGTGGGTGTGGAAGCTTGAGTTCTACATCTCCCGTCTTCTTTTTCACTTTCTACTTTCTTTTTGAGACAGTCTTTTCATTGAACCTGAAGCTCACTGATTTGTTGAGCTCCAGGGTAGTCCTGTCTCCATACAGACGAGGCTGCCCTCCACCTTAGAGATCTGCCTGCTCCTGTCTCCCTAGTGTTGGGATTAAAGGTGTGCCCCTCCTGTCAGAGACACCACCATCTCCTGTCACAGATCCTGGCTGAAATAGGATTTTATGTGGGCCAAATTGACCTCAAACTGGCTAAATTCTGATTCTCCATCGTTAACTTCCCTAGTGGTGGAATTACAGACATCTACCACCACATGCACTGTGGTAGTTTGAATAAGAATGGTGCTCCCCCATGGGTACATATAGGTATGACCTTGTTGAAAAAAATGTATCACTGGAGATGAGGTTTCTTGAGATTTTAAAAGCCCACACAAGCCCAGTCTGCGTCTCCTGCTGCGGTCAATTAGGATGATAAAGATGTAGCTCTCAGCTTCTGCTTCAATGTCATGCTCCCTGGCATGATGATAATGGACTAAACCTCTGAAACTGTAAGTAAGCCCCAAATCAAAGTTTTCTTTTTCATAAGAACTGTAATAGTCGGGCGGTGGTGGCGCATGCCTTTAATCCCAGCACTTGGGAGGCAGAGGCAGGCGGATTTCTGAGTTCGAGGCCAGCCTGGTCTACAGAGTGAGTTCCAGGACAGCCAGGACTATACAGAGAAACCCTGTCTCTGGAAAAAAAAAAAAAAAAAAAAAAAAAAGAACTGTAATAGAACGATGACTAAGATAACCACCTTGAATTATTTTCTCCTGTCTTCTCCCCCTCCTCTTCCTCCTTATTATAATCCAAGGGACTGAACCTAGGGATCTGAGAAAGCTAGGCAAATAATCTATACCACTGAGCTATGCCCCAAATCCCAACTACTCATTTTCCTTGACAATTAAATTGCAGACATTATAAAACCATACAAATATCCTGGCTCCTCATTGAAACTGCTCTCAGATTTATGGTCCTCTTTGATACTTCCTTTCTGACCTATCTGATAGAAGCTGAATGATGACTGACCAATTCCAACACTCCTATGGTTTCCAGTTAGCACTTGACATTTACTCGTGAGTTTTATCTCCTTCAAAGGGTTTGTAGTTCATTATTATACTTAGTTATTCTTTAAGTTGAACTTCCCTAATTTTAGCTCATTGAGGAGTTCTACAGAGCTGGCTACTGCATCTTTCTTTTTTTTTTAACCTTTTTATTGATTCTTTGTTTATTTCCCATCACGCACCCTGATCCCACACCTGTCCCTCTGTATATGCCTTCAGCCCTTGCAACCTCCCCGAAAAAGAAAAAATGTTGTCGTTGTGGAAGCTGCAATACATTACAGTGTGTTCCAAGTAAGCCCTCTGTCCACACAGATTTACTTGCAAATGTTCCTACAACGAGCTATTGGTCTGGTTCGAGGCCTCTGGCTTCTGCTACTCTATCAATACTGGATCCTCACCAGGACTCCACTTGGATAGCCTGTTGTTGCCCTGTGTTGTGGAAATCTTGCAGTTTGGGGACTGTAGGACATGCTCCCAGCTCACAGACAGGGTAGATGTTGGGGTGGGCCAACTCCAAGCCCTGGATCTAGGTCTGGGTGGCAGCTAAGGTGGTCAGCCTGACAGCTCTCCCACACTTGCACCACAAGGGCAAGCTTTCCAGCTCTTTCCCAGCTAGCTCACTCAACGCCAGAGGCAACAAGGAACTGGCTCCTGCATCTTTAAGGTGAGTCTCCACCACATTTTTTGGTACTGATTACTTTCTAGCATCAAGTATTTCAGTCTTGGACGTATTTTGCTCTTATTCTGAAATATTTTCTCAAAGAGCAACAGTTTCTTTTAGCAGAGAACACTATTACAGGCTAAGATCTGGGCATAATGCATGCTTATTGCCACTAGAATGCTTCTGCCTATTTTTTTCTTTTTTTTAAAGAAATAAGAAATATATGGATGTGGGGTGGGGTGGCGGTTTGAATATGCTTGTCCCATGGAAAGTGGCACTATTCAGGGGTGTGGCCTTGTTAGATGAAGTGCATCACTGTGGCAGTGGGCTTTGAAGTTCTGCCCAGTGTCATGGTGTCTCCTTACAGCAATGAAAATCCTAACTAAGACAGGTAGGGATACAGCTTAGGGTAGAGTGCCTTCTCATTATGCCTGAGGCCCAGAGTTTGAATCCTACTGCTGCAAAGCCAAAAGAAAGCATCAAACAGATTCTTAGGACAAGAACAAAAAGCAACTACATTCTTTGCCAAAATATTACAAGAATAGACTGTAGCCTAGTTGCTAATACTGTTCCCCTTTGAAACCTGTTGAGTTGTACCTCCATAGCCCATATTACTCTCAGCACTACTGTCTTCCAAGCTCCTACTAGTATGGCCATGCATATAGCATTCAACCACTCTCCTAATCCAAAGTCTCATACATTTCTCAAAAAAGTACCATTTACAGGACTGTTACAACAATGTGCCACTCCTTGATACCAGTTTCTACCTTTGTTAATTTTCTATCACTGTTAAAAGACACCATGACCAAGGCAGCTTATAAAAGAAAAAGTTCATAGGGGACTGTCATGGCAGGTAGCATGGGGGCAGGTAGAGAGCAGTAGCTGAGAGCTGACATCTGATCTATAAGCACGAGGCAAAGAAAGAAAGCTAACTGGGAATCTGTGGGCTTTTGAAACCTCCAAACCCACTCCCAGTGACACACTTCCTCCAACAAGGTCACATATTCTAATCCTTTCCATACAGTCCCACCAACTGGAGAACAAGCAACAACATATAAGCCTATAAGGGCCACCCTCATTCAAGCCACCACAGTATGTATGTTTAAATGTTTAAATTTACATTTAAACGCACATATACATTTTGTATAACTACATATACATGCATATAATATGTATAATGCACTGTGCATATTTTTTAATTCCTAAGTCTACATCAGTAACATATATTCCAAGTTTCTTTTTTTTTATTTCTTTTGGTTTTTTCAAAACAGAGACTCTCTGTGTAGCCCTGGCTGTCCTGGAACTCACTCTGTAGACCAGGCTGGCCTCAAACTCAGAAATCTGCCTGCCTCTGCCTCCCAAGTGCTGGGATTAAAGGTGCGCGCCACCACCGCCCAGCTATATTTCAAGTTTCAATTACATGGTCTTAACTTCTTTTCAACAGTTACATGTATATCCACTATAAAGGATTTTGTTGTTGATGTTTATTTTGTTTGGTTGGGGATTTTTGTTTTGGTTTTGTTTGTTGGTTGGATTTTTTGTCTTACTTTGGATTTTGATTTTTCATTTGGCCCAAGGCCTCACCATGGAGCTCTGGCTAGCCTAGAACTTGCTATGTAAACCAAGCTGGCCTCAAAGTCATAGATTCACCTGCTTCTGCCTCCAAGTGCTAGATTAAAAGCATGTGTTATCATGCTGGCTGTTGTCTCTTTCTTGAATTGGGATTTCTCCTTATTTTCCACATTAGACTTGAATACATGACTTCAAGTGACCCTCCTTCATTGGCCTCCAGAATGAATGGGGCTTCAAGCACAGGCCAAACTACAGCTATAGTTTTTAATCTCTATTATTATTGTTATTGTTGTTGTTTATTTTGTTTTTCAGACAAGGTCTCACTGTGTAGCCCTGGCTGGCCTAGAACTTGCTATGCAAACCAGACTGGCCTCAAACTCACAGAGATCCACCTGCTTCTATCTCCCAATTACCAAAATTAAAGGCATGTGCCATCACGCCAATTTGATATCACCAAATTCCCTTCCTTAAGTGGGTTTTAGATTTTTTGTTTCTTTGCTGAGACATGGTCCTAGGTCCAGACTAGCCAAGAACTTACCAGGTAGCTCAGGCTGTCTTGAATTTACAATCCTACTGCCTCAGCTTCTGGAGTTCTGGATTATAAGTGCACACCATTATGCCAGACAAAGGGAAAACTGTATCTTGATTCAGACTTAGTTGGTAATAAATATACCAATGCTTTGATGGTATATTACTTTGGAAAGTTTAGATCAAATTTTACTAAACTTGAATGTTTATCTATTTATATTTTCAAAACTTCTAGAACAAGGAATTATAAAGAAATTACTGTAAATACTTACTGAGTGGTGTTGTATCAGGAGGTGGAAAGTTCTCAGTAAAGTTGACATTACATAAATCTGTACTACAACAGCAAAAACGGTATGTTCCATTCTGAATTGAGGGTGGGGTGGTAGTTACTACACATTCTTCATAGTGACACTCTTGGGGATCACCAATGTGAGACCAACATCCTACAGATCAATATTAAAATAAGTTAGGACACAATACAGTAAGTAAAACAACAAATTATGAAATAAGTGCAGTCATATAAAACTAAGTTAATATAGTCATAAAGAAACCTGAATGAAGCCGGGCGGTGGTGGCGCATGCCTTTAATCCCAGCACTTGGGAGGCAAAGGCAGGCGGATTTCTGAGTTCGAGGCCAGCCTGGTCTACAGAGTGAGTTCCAGGACAGCCAGGACTACACAGAGAAACCTTGTCTCGAAAAACCAAAAAAAAAAAAAAAAGAAAAGAAAAAAAAGAAACCTGAATGAATGGGCTGGAGACATGGTTCAACAGTTAAGAGCTCAAAAAACCAAAACCAAACCAAACCAAACCAAAAAAACAGTTAAGAGCACTGACTGCTCTTCTAAAGGTCCTGAGTTCAATTCCCAGCAACCACATGGTGGCTCACAACCATCTGTAATGGGATTCAATGCCCTTCTTCTGGTGTGTCTAAGGACAGCAATAGTGTATTCATAGACATAAGATAAATATATATATATATATATATATAGAAACCTGAATGAAAACGGCAAAGGATACTACAGACATTTCACAGAGAAAAGAAACCAACAAACAATTATGATTAACTGCATCATTATTATAAGAATTACTGAAGAAACAGCAAAGTCTGACTATTTTAGATTTAAATTGTCTTCAACTTTAAAATAATAATGCCATCATAACAAAGACTCAGTGACAGTCACTCTCATACAGTTCTGTAATCAATGTTTGATGGTAATTTTGGAAAAACAGCAATTTTAATTTAGAGCCTTTATTTTTATGATCTATTAATTCTACATTAAAAATCTACTTTAAAAACAAAATAAAAAGTAATCAAATAGACACAACTTTTATATATGTTTGAAGGTTTTCATTTTCAGAAAATGCATGTCAATGAAAACCTTACAACAGCATAGTGTGCAAAGCATGTAAGTAAACTGTGACACATATACAAAGTGAAATACAGTGCTGAGGTATACATGTCTTCAGAGAGCATTTACAACAATACGCGAGAAAAGAGGATGGGATTATTATATAACATTATCCTCATTTTAAAAGAAGACTGGCACTCATATTAAAGTACATGGAAAGTGTACCTAAAGGGAACAAATCAATATAAAAATAATATTTTTAAGAGAACTGAGTTGTAGACCTTGGTTTTTCTGAATAGTTTATTGGTTATTTCCAAACTTCATTCACAAACACTAACTTGTAAAGAGAAAGATGTTATTAAAACACACTTAAAGGCCAGGCATGGTGGAGCACAACTTTAGTCTCAGCACATGGGAAGCAAAAGAAGGCAGATCTCTGTGAGTTCCAGGCCAGGCTGGTCTACACAATGAGATCCCATTTCAGCCAAGCAAGCAAGCAAACTACACTAAAAGTAAACTTTCTTTTATGAATTTGGAGCTTGAGGGTGAATATATAGATATATTTATGTGTTTATCTTCTTATTTACTTTTCTGGATAGGATTTTAATCTACCTAAATGTCTTTTCTAGATAAGCTCCAGTTTTTGAAAACACTGCTGAAGATAGTAGAGCCCTGTGACATAGAACTTGCCTGTGTGCATGACATTCCGGGTCTGATTCTCAGCACCCAAAAGAAAAAAAAAAAAAGACAATGCAATTTTAAGGGGGGGGAAAAGTATTACTTGGGGGCTGGAGAGATGGCTCAGCTGTTAAGAACACTCACTGCTCTTTCAGAGGGCCCAGGTTCAAATCCCAGCACCCAAATGGCAGCTTACAACTGTCTATAACTCCCAAGATCTGACTCTCTCACACAGAGATATATGCAGGCAAAACACCAATACACATAAAATAAAAAGGTAAATAATTAAAAAAAAAATTACTTGCCTTGTTTCACAAGATTGATGTCCCCTTTTGATTTCTCCCACAGACCGTAACATGTGCTCCCTTTGGAGCATAATATTGTCCCATTTTCATGAGAGATTCGACTCTCGCCTATCCCAAGGTCTTGTTGATATGGATCTTTAAATGCACACAGCCGTTCTTGATTCTGGGAAGCTGAAAAAAAGAACAAAGAACACAATGATAAATTGATGTTTCTTTGATAATACTATTGATTATAGTAATCTTTAAGATTTAATTTAATAATATATGATAATCTAACTTGAGTATGATCATAAATTTTTTCTGCTAAATCCTTTACATTTAATTACTGAATTTTTTTTTTTTTTTTTGGTTTTTCGAGACAGGGTTTCTCTGTGTAGCCATGGCTGTCCTGGAACTCACTCTGTAGACCAGGCTGACCACGAACTCAGAAATCCGCCTGCCTCTGCCTCCCAAGTACTGGGATTAAAGGCGTGCGCCACCACCGCCCCACCTGAATAAATTTTTAATTTTACATTTACCTAATAATTTTCTGTTTCAAGATGTATCTTTAGTTTTTTAGGCATCTGTGTGTGCAAGTTTGCACATTTGAATTTAGGTACCCAAGAGGACAGAGGCATTGGATGTTCCCATAGCGGGAGTTAAGGTGATTATGAGCTGCCTGACATGGTTGCTGTAAACTGAACTTGGGTCCTCTGGAAGAGCAATACACTTGCTTTTAACTACTGAACCATCTCCTTATCCACACCCTCCAGCAATTCCCTTTTGGACATTAATTTTTATATCCAAGCAATAAGAAATTAAAGAAAATATATTCCCTGATGACAGACTCCTTTTACACATATAATTCCTATCACTCTTTCTACTACTAAATACTTTTGCTGTTCAAAAAAGAAATACCGCCGGGCGGTGGTGGCGCACGCCTTTAATCCCAGTACTTGGGAGGCAGAGGCAGGTGGATTTCTGAGTTCGTGGTCAGCCTGGTCTACAGAGTGAGTTCCAGGACAGCCAGGACTACACAGAGAAACCCTGTCTCGAAAAAACAAAAAACAAAAAACAAAAGCAACAAAAAAAGAAATACCATCTTCAACAGAGCATGGTGGTGTATATATACCTTTACTCCCAGCAGGGGAGTTGGGAGGGAGGCAGAGGCTGGTGGATATCTGTAAGTTCTAAGCCATCCTGGTCTACATATTGAGTTCCAGAACAGCAAGAGCTACAAGAACTACAAGATAAGACCCTATCTCAAAAGAGAAAGAAAGA